CACACACACACACACACACACACACACACACACACACACACACACACGCGGGAAAAAGAGTGGCAGTGTATTTTTTCATGTTCTAGCACAAAATTCATTCCGATTTTGCTCATCCTATCGATGGAAGTAGCCTCTCTCTATCTCTCTGCGCACATGGCTGGAAAGAAGTGTATATACTATATTTCCATCTTCTAGTGGAAGATTCATTCTGATGTTGCTCATCCTATCGATGGAAGTAGCCTCTCTCTAACTCTCTGCGTGCATGGCTGCAAAACTCTCTCTCACACCCAGACCCACACACCCACACCCACACCCACACCCACACACATACACATACACAAGTGCAGTAGTGTATTTTCCATGTTCTAGCGGAAAACTTGCTCGATTAATCTTCCTATTCGATGGACGTAGCGTGAGGCCAGCCACGGGGTTGGAGACTTACCTGTTGGCCGGTGCATTGCTCATCCTATCGATGGAAAACTCTCTCTCTCTCTCTCTCACATCTAGATGTGTATAAGAGACAGCACACACACACACACACACACACACACACACACACACACAAACGCGTACACACACACACACAAACAAATGTAGGTGAATATTTCCATGTTCGAACGGCAGATTAATTCGATTTTGCTCATCACCATGAGGCCAGTCGCCAGGTTGGACACTTACCTGTTTGTAAACTCTCTCTCTTTCTCTCTCTCTCTCTCTCTCTCTCTCTCTCTCTCTCTCTCTCTCTCTCTCTCTCTCTCTCTCTCTCTCTCTCGTGCGCGTGTGTGCGAGGCAACACTTGCATCTGACAGCTCCGTAGTCCTTCCTCACGCCGGGATTTCTTTTCGATATACCTGTCCGGTGCAGTGTATGTTCCTATGTTCTTGCCGAAGATTCCTTCTCATTTTGCACGTTGGCAGACTGCTCAGTTGATGCATACATGAAACTGTTGACTTGCAAACGTGAGTTCGAATCCAGTGGCGACCACAATAAAATAGTTCTGATTTACAAAGAATCTGACGGCATGCTGATGCCTCGGCCGATGCCGCCCCCCGAATGCTGCGCGTCCCTCGGACTCCCTCCTGTTCTAAAACAAGCACCCTGCATCTCGCCCGGGCCAGATAGTGGCCATGCCTGCGGTGGGGCTGTCACTGGGCCGCAGTGGGTTCACTTGTTTTTTTATTTGTAGCATGTTGCTCATCTGCTTCCAGTGGAGTTTGAACTCAGGTCTGTGTTTCAACAGTTCAGGGACGTACCTACTGAGCTCCACGAATGGATAGTTGGTGCCTTTGCCGTCGGCTTACCTGTGGTCATTTTTTGTTTTGCGTTGTATGTTGTTCATCTGCTTCCAGTGGAGTTCAAACTCGAGTCTCCCTAGTTCCATAAAGAAAACCGAATGCAAAAGATCTGCAATGCCAATCAGATGGGTTTCTAGATATCTGAGAAATTCAGATAAAGGCTGAGAGCAAGACAAAATTCGGAAGTAAAAAGAGCTTCATCTAACAAGTCAGTTGGGGGCCCGGGGGGGGATCCAAGGAATTACTCACTCCTCTGTGCTCTTTTGTGCTCCTTGTAGAATGCCTGACTCTTGGATTTTCCCTTCCCAAACAAGCCTTTGACTTTATCGGTAACTGGTTCAAGAGAGGATGCCATGGGCTCTGATGTAACAGCCATGTAGCCAAAGGCCACGGCAATAATGGTGGCCCCCAACCATCGCCGAATTTTTGCTCCCTTTTCTTCATCGGCCTGGAAGTAATCTCGCACAACGCCTGGAATTGCCTTCACCTTCTCAGGAATCACTTTCAAGGCGTCAATGACCCCCATGGCTCTTTCACTGGCCCTACAACTCCACTGTCTTCACATGCAAGAAACAGTGAAACACACACCCACACCCACACCCACACCCACACCAACACCCACACCCACACCCACACCAAGACACAGACGCACAGTGTCACACAAAACCGAAGCTCGAGTCTACTTTGAGACTGACAACAGCAAGGGGATGCTTGGGAAGAACCCGGACAAACTGACATATGACAAAACTGGCTCTCTATTTCTGTCTGGGCTTATAGGCTTACCAAAACTCATGCAAGAAAAACACATCCACAACTCGAATGCAATCCGACACCGGTCTTTGATCTCGCCACATCACTAATGCATAGAGTGCCATGAAGTTTGACATAAACTCACACCTCTTCCACCCGCAAGAACATGTCCGCATCACTTTTTATCACATCTCAACAGCTCCCAGAGCAATGGGCGAACAGAGTTATGTCAGGAAAAAGTGACTGGGTTGAAAATGTTTTCAGCCTCAATACTTCTCCTGCATTTTTTTAACCCTTTCAATTTTTCAGAACTGTGTTGTTACTTTCAGTCTTTCAGTCTGCTTGATTCATGGTAACCCTGTTTTCAGAACTGTGTTGTCAATTCAGTTCACCACAACAACATTTCCTGAACTCTTTTGTCACAGTGACTTCCGTTAGTATAATCAGTTAGTATAACACTTTTGTTTTCAGATAATATTTAATTTCATCACTTTGAGAAGTTTCAGTCTGTGCTTGAGATGGTGAGCAACTGAAGTAACACACTGAAAATAGCGTGCAAAAACAGTACCCTTGACATCCAGCACTGAAATTTTCTTTTTCCCACAGGCATGACCGAGGCATCTCCGGCATGGTCTCAAATAGTTTTTTCTTTTTTTTTTCCCCATGGCTGTGGCTGTGGCATCCCGGCCGCGGCCACAGCCGACATTAAGGAAAAAAGAAACGCACCTCGACGCAGGGCTGTGCCACAGCCACAACCTCAGCCACACCCGCCAGAATATAAAAAACAGGGACAATTTGACTGGCACCCCTGAAATTCCCATTATTTTGCATCGTGCCCCCCCGGCCCCTCCCACATCATTTACCCTGTTGCGCCCCTCTGACCACGATTCAAATTTCCCATAAAACCCCAGTGTTGGTTTGGCCTGAAATATTTTTTGATATGCCCCTACCGGTACCCGTTGCAAACTTGCAGTATGCCCCTACCAGATAGCTGTCGCGGCCCTCTGACCACGATTCAAATTTCCCATAAGACCCCAGTGTCGGTTTGGCCTGAAATATTTTTGTTTTGCCCTTACTGGTACCCATTGCAAACTTGCAGTATGCCCCTACCAGATAGCTGCTGAGTACCGCCACAAAAAAAAATCCATATGCCCCTACCGGTAGGGTGCATCTTCTCAGCGCACCTCTATGGCTACGCACATGGCAGCCACTTCATTTCTCTCTCTCTCTCTCTCTCTCTCTCTCTCTCTCTCTCTCTCTCTCTCT